GGGGGGGGGGGGAAATCCCAGACATGCTGAGGCGTGGCTCCCGCCCGCTCACCCAGGGAATGAGCCTGAGAGAACTTCGATTGCCCACGGGAGCCCGGGCCCCAGCCGAAATCCAGCCTCGTCCCCCGCCTCTTGGGGCCGAGGGGGAATCCCCACTCTTCTGCGTGTGTGGATCGGGTCCCCCGCCCCGTCGCCCACCCCCCCCCCCAGCTCGGTCATGCACGCACACACATGGGGGCCTTGAACAGGGTACCCGGCAACAGACACGCCCCTTCGAATAGGCCCCACCGGCCGAGCGGCCAGACCACCGGCGCCCCCTTGGGCCATGCGAGCTCTCCCTCGAACCACCTAATACCCATCGGGGCATCCTAATTGCCGGTCATTGAAAACGTATGCGATCGCCCCCTGATGGGAATAATAAACACCAAAGTCATGCCCCACTATGTTCTATATCACGACGCAAACACATGACACAACCAAGGGACCAACGCTTAGGAAACACGCAGCTGCCACTCCTCTCCTCAGGTCGCGCCTGCCCCGCGTCCGCCGGCTTTTTTTTTTTCTCGCTTCTTTGTTATTGTGTATGTTCAAGGTGCCCGGGGAGCCGGCCCTGCCCTGGTGATTGATGGCGGCGACACTTGTCTCCTTGGAGGCACCCCCTCTCGGCTGGTGCCCAGTTGCCCCACCCCCTCTGGCCACTCCTAGCTGTGGAGACAGAGCGCCAAATGTGATCCCCCTCCCCGCGTCCTTGGAGGATTGCGCCCAGCCCTTCGGGCTCCCTCTCGAAAGGGGGTGCCGTGTTCCGGCGCCTCGGTCGCTTATCGCATCATCACCCTCATCATCCCCCATCCCCTCTCCTTGCCCTTCCTCACCTCGCCCACACCCACACCCACACCCACACCCACACCCACACCCACACACAGTCCCTCTGCCCTCCCGCTGCTCAGCCACCAGCCGCCAGCCACCAACATGTCTCTGGCCGCTCAGTTCGCGCCCCACCTGGGCTACAACCCCAACAATCCCCTCCTCAACATGGAGAAGGAGGAGCAGAATGTGCGTTCCGCCGCCCGGCTTGCTCCGGAATTCCAGGCGCCAAAGTCCGCCCCGCTGGGACTCACCCATCCTCCCTCATCTCCCGGCGTAGGCCAAGTTCACCGAGATCATCCAGCTTCTGCTGGCTGCCGGGTACTTCCGTGCGCGTATCAACACCCTGTCGGAGTTTGATCGTGTCATCGGTGGCCTGGCTTGGGGCTTGGCAGTTAGCGCGTCGGATGTCGATGTCGACGTCATGTTCATCGAGAACTCGAC